ATCGCTCTGTACGCGATAAGGACTGAAATAAGTGGAATCAAACTCCAAGTCTTCACCGCCAAGAACAGGTTCAGAATCATGTGATCTAGGTGGGGATAAAGGTGTTGATGTAACAGGAGGATTAGAACCGAATGGACTTGCCCCCGTATCAGATACGTTGAAACGAATAGTAGGTTCGGTTGGATGAGTGGTGGTGGTAGTGACGGTAGTGAATAGTGGGGTTGGAATTGGGATAGAGGTTGTAGTTGTAGAGGAGACAGGTGGAGGACAAGGAGCGATAGTAATATGAACCGAAAGTGGAACTGAACGTGGAGGCGAGGTTCAGTTGCTATCATTAGTGGGTGAGGGAGGAGGCGAATCACCTCTAGATGGACTATCGGTTTCAGTAGCTTCATCATCAGTGGACTCAGGATCTGGCTGACCATCAGAAGGAACATACTTAGGGTCACTTGTGGGAGGGGAAGGAGACTTCGGTCGGCGAGCTTGCTTTTTGACCTTTCGTTTCTTTGAAGCAGTAGGCACAGCTTGCTCTGTCTTGCGTTTCTTAGCGGTTGAAACCTTGGAGGATTGACCCATTTTGTCTCCTTTGGTATCAGCCTTCTTCCCTCGTTTTGTTGGCTTGTCCGCAACATCCAATGAACCCTGCATCTTGGGAGTGAGTTGGCATGGACCTGAAGGAGTCAACTTCCTGTAATCAGCCATTAATTTACTTTCATTAGAGACACATCAGTACATCGATTCTGGAATTGACCTGTTAAAGATAAACTTGGAAGGATCTGAGACAAGAATCCTCGTCGTATGAAATGTACCAATCGAACACATGAGGGAATCCGCCATTGTAGGAACATTGAACTTTTCCATCGCCCAACGAGTGACGATAGTCTAAAATCGTGCACAGGAAATTTCAGTGAATCTTGAAGAAGAGCTTATACTGTAAACGAGTTGAGCCCATATGATCGATCCATAGTCCAAATTTATCCCATGATACAGACCATATAGAATGATCATAAAAGCCCTGCTCGTACCGTCTGAACTAGCAACCCTCTCCAATAAGCCCTTGGAGAGGAGCATTACGAGTCCGTTCCAATGTGGAGGAAGAGAAGACTTCTTGAACTTTGTAATTGTTGTGAGAATCTACGTGTACCCCATATCATAGAGCATCGAGAACAGTTGAGTGTTGGTGATGGAATCTGGGTTGACCAATGATTCAGCAGCAGGAAGACGTAGCAAGGAAGAAACCCTAGCTTTTGAAATTGAGGATCTTTGATTGATGATGTCGAAGAATATGCGCTCCTTGGCTTTATCATAAACGGCAGAGGAGTATACAGCAGAGAGCATCGACATTGGAACACTTTCCACCTGTGTGAGAGCGACCACCAGTGGTGAATACTTGAGACATTCGACTAGATGAAGCATATACGAATCATAGAGAAAGGGGTTGAGTTCGATGACCAGATTCTGATTAGGTTTGATGGTCAGAAGAGTGAACTGAGTGGATTGATCGAAAACTGATGAAGATTCAGCCATTGTTGTAGGTGAGAAGAACATGAACAGTGGAGAATCGCCGATGTCTTCTTGAGAGAGAGAGAAAGTTTGGTAAAGGAGTCCAAGAGGTTCGAGAAAATCTTTTATACCATCTCTTAGGAGAGAGAAAAATATGTTTGTGATGATGAATGGATCTCTAAAACGTCGCCTGAAAAAGCGCGATGTGAGAACTTGGTATCCCTAGAAATACGTCAGCAGGCGTGGGTATGTGAACCGTTTCAAATTCATGCGCCTTTTTGACCTTATCTCCTGTTCAAATTTTGAACCGTTTCAACTGCATGCTGACTCACCCTTATTTGATTTTTATTAAATAAATCAACACCACCATAAATTAGATACGTCATTTCGCATTATTGTAATCAACTGTCGCTTCTTCATAATAAAGAAAACCACCATATCTGTTAGATTCGAAAGCATAAATCTGGAAATTTCCATTAGTACCACGAACAAGAATTTGGAAAATCATAAAGACCTTCCTGCAAGAGTGTGCCAATGATAAAGAAATAAAGCAAAATATTTGTGGAATGTAAATGATGTCGGTTTAGACATGAAACTGATGATCTCGAGCACGAATCTCTTCCTTCAAAGTCAAGAGAGACTAAGAAGTGTCTGTATAGTTTCCCGTAAAATACGATGAAATGTTTGTAGAGAAACATTGAAAAGCAAAATATTTGTGGAATGTAAGTGATTGTTGGGTCTGGTGTTGCGTCTTTGGGCTCGGTCATAAGTCCATTTAGTCTACCCGGTTTGGGCCTGTCCAACCGTGGATAAACATTAGGGTTAGCATATAAATATTGCATACATGTATAGCTTTTAGATCGATCGTTCTCATTAATTACTTGCATTGTAACCCTAGCACACCTCTACAGTCGAAGTTCTTCATCGAGCTCTTCTGAGGTGTGAGTTATTAATCATTCGACACCATTGATCCATTCTCGTGTTCTTTGCTTGATTAAATATTGTTTTTCTGTTTGGAATCTATCGATCTACAACTCTAATATTCCAACAATTGGTATCAGAGCCAGTGGCGAGGGTTCTATTCTCTCAGGGAGCAATTTCTGGGGGGTGGGGATTGTTGGGGGTCAGAAATGGCATCGACCAAGTCCTCGCACGATGGCTTGGAGTGCCGCAATAGAATGCCTGGTCGTGGAGGGCTGAATGCGCTATATGGGTAAGGTTGCGCCCTTTCTAACACCAATTGGTTTTAGATCAACCAGTAGCGCTGATGCTCAACAAGTGGTATCAGAGCTAGTGGCGAGGGTTCTATTCTCTCATGGATCAATTTCTGAGGGGGGGGGGGTTGTTGGGGGTCAGAAATGGCATCGACCAAGTCCTCGCACGATGGCCTGGAGTGCCGCAATAGAATACCTGGTCCTGGAGGGCTGAATGCGCTATATGGGTAAGGTTGCGCCCTTTCTAACACCAATTGGTTTTAGATCAACCGGTAGCGCTAATGCTCAACAAGTGGTATCAGAGCCAGTGGCAAGGGTTCTATTCTCTCAGGGAGCAATTTCTGAGGGGGGGGGGATTGTTGGGGGTCCGAAATGGCATCGACCAAGTCCTCGCACGATGGCCTGGAGTGCCGCAATAGAATGCCTGGTCCTGGAGGGCTGAATGCGCTATATGGGTAAGGTTGCGCCCTTTCTAACACCAATTGGTTTTAGATCAACCAGTAGCGCTGATGCTCAACACAAAATGTGTTGGGTAAAACATGGGTAGATGAAATAGTTGCTGTGTGACAAAAAAAAATGATGAGAGGTGATATAGACCATGAGATAAGGGTGAGAGGTGAACCATGAGAGAAACCTTTTACCCAACTATTGGCCCCGTCATCTAGCAGAGTATAGATGACAACCACGGACTATTCTAGACAGTCCAGTGGAACACTAGCAAGCTCGGACCCTGTAGGTGTTATTTGAACTGTGTATTCACCAGTTTGACTCTAAAAACCCATTGACATGTATTGCGAGTGGATTCTCGGAAACGATACTGTCGATAAACGAGATAAAAACCCATTGACATGTATTGCGAGTGGATTCTCGGAAACGATATTGTCTATAAACGAGATAACCCTCGCAGCTATGGATTTAGTGCCTGATAAGCAAACCCTGGCAACTATGGATTTAGTGCCTGTTGAGCAAACCCTGGCAACTATGGATTTAGTGCATGTTGAGTAAACCCTGGCAACGATGGATTTCGTGCCCATTCCTTAGGATAATCCTTAGGAAAGAATCAACGAGGAATAGCTAATTCTTAGGGTAAATCCTTAAGAGTAAAGAAGATAATGGGAATGGGTAATTGGGTTAATTGTTTGATGATTAAACATAATAATTATATTATTGTGGGTTCAAAACCCTATGTACTCACCAGGTTTCCCAACCTGACCCACTCAGTTTATTTATATCACAAGTGTTGATATGAAGTCACATTACACTGAGAGATTAAGGAGATATAAATCCCTAGTGATAATGAATGTAAGTTCTATTTATGCTTATGTTTCTGTATTGAAGATGACATCCCAAATGTTTTAAAATGAATAAAAATACATTTCTTCGGAAATGCTTTGATAATGTATTTATCATGTTTTTCTGGGAACAAATTTCGCAACACTTTTCTTCAAAAGGATACTCTGATTTTTAAACAAAGCATAAGCAGAATCGGTCTTTTCTGGCCATGAAAATGGGGATGTCACAAAGTTGTAGTTGGCGTCCTAAGAGCTCGTAATGAAGGAGTCGCCTCCTGGACCTGGAGTGTGTGCAGTTCGCACCACCACCCCTAGAACAAGGAAAATGGTCCAGATAAGGTACGTCCAGGGCTTGGGTAATGTGATCAAACTCTGCATGGATAATCACAACCCAACAAATCAGTCCAAGAAGCTAGCCCTTGGCTTACACCATGATGTAGTCACCTCTTTTTCTTAACTCATCAAACAATGTAGTTATCTTCAAAAACATTATCAATGAAGAAAGTGGACTACCCAAAAAAGCTATTAGAACGTTTTTACTATTCAAGTTTGATAACACTCACAAAAGAGGTTGTACACGTTTACCAAATGATGACAAGGACTGATCATCCACATCATTTGAGTGAAACCTTTGTTAGAATGAAACCATAGGTGTCAAAGGTTCATAACCTTTATTTGGCTTGGAATCTGTCCAATTTTCTTTGTTAGGGTATCCCATAACAAAGTCTCAAAAAGGATAATCAACAAACTTTAGAAATAATGGCCTACGACCCAAAATTCTAAGCCCACAGCACGAGCTCCCGGGACAAATCCAAACCAATTTAAGCAAATATAGGTCCTAGAGTTATAAGTTGGGCAAATCCAGTAGCATGACTAGATCGCCAAACAACATAACCGCACACCAAGTGGAGAGATCTAACTGTCTCGAGTCGACAAAAATAAACCACCTTGGGATAGAAACAAAGGTATCGCAGAAGCATAAATGACTATGCTACCAAAAAAAACCTTGTCTTGTCAGACAACCCCCAGACTTGAAAGGGCCGCACAGGGCTAAACAACCATTAAAAGTATTGTCTTGAAGACATTGTCTTAGAAACACACAAGTTCAAACACTATTCCACATAAGCAAATCAGGAAGAAAGGAGGATCACTTACCGAGAGCAGTGGAGGAAGATCCAACTTTGAAAGGGTCACCTTCAGGGGGGTCATTCTCGACGTCATGATCACGGCACAACTGATGATGGCCTTCCAAGTCGAGCTCACCTGCATGAAGGAGGGAGGCAAAATTCGTCTCCATGAACGACCTCACAGAAGCATGCATGGCCCGAGTCATGTCCACCATAATACTTGGCTCCTGCGGGTTGAATTTCCCGGACGCCACCTATTCCTTCACCTTATGCTTGCCTCCCTCCACACCGGCTGCAACACACGCCGCCTTCATACGCCGGATCCCAGTCGAGAACTCAGGACTCTCAATGACTCGATCAACCACCCGAATGATACCATCCTGTAACAGCCACACCATATCACCCTCCACAGTCTTCCTCCTGGATTCCTCGACAGCCAGTTGTCCAGCCTTTGCTTCACCTGCTCTTCCGATAACCCTTTTTCTCCTACCAGAGTCTCCACTCTCTTCGCCAAACGCTCCACTGACCCATCCAAACTTTCAACTTGTTCCTCTAAATACGCCTTCCCAACCAGCCGAAAGGTCATAATGCTCTTCAAATTTGCGGTTCTAGTCCTCCAGCCCCAACACTCTCGCCCTTAACTCATCCTGCTTAACCCTAGAAGTGGAAAGCTTTGTTGAATCAGAACTGACCTGATGAAGGCGCCGAGAAACAACCACCAAATAAGGAGCGCCCTGAGCCGCAGATTACCGAAGAGTGTTGGACATATGAGAGTTGGAGAGGAGCTCCAAAGCTTCGATTGTGGCCGGAGGGAAAGCATGACGGCCCCATTCGTACACAACGAAATGTTGCATAAGAAGGGACTCTCTAGTAAGCCCCCACTACGGGATATAAACTTTAGGGGTCGTCAGATGCGAAGAAGAGGAACCTACAATAACACCATCCTTCACCAGAGGCAAAGAAAATTCAGAAGAGGTTTGAAACTTAACCTTAGGCTCCTTGCATATAGCGCCTTCACTAGGAACAGTAGTATCCTCTGGCTCCTCCTTGGGTTCATGAGGTTGTTCAATCGCCTATTCATCCATTCCCTCCGACTATTTCGAAGTGTCATCATTGGTAATTTCCACCACCACGTCGGACTCCCCCAACAGAAAGTCAATGTTCCGCTTCTTACGAAGACGCCTACCAACAGTGCTAGCACGGGCACCCTCAGTAAGTGGGAGTCTAACCAAGCCAACCGCCACTTGATGGATGAGCGGCTCCCTCCAGTCGCCACCTCCCCTGATGCCTCGTCCTCCAGATCAAGAGCTAAAGGATCGTCACAAGAAACACCCTCAACAATTGCATCGATCAAGTCTGAGTCAACCTGCTTACCAGACCCTTGCGCCACAACATCGCCAGGACTAGCAAGATCCAGAGCATGATCAGCGCCGACCAGTGGAGGAAGGATCTCCAACAGAGGCACTTCCTTGTGCTGAAAATTGCCCTGGAACCTCCCCCATAGGACCATATCGAAAGGAATGATCCTTCCACGACCTGAAACAAAGAACAAATCACATATGTAAGGATTGGAAAAGCCCCCTCCCCACCAAGATTCATATAAAAAATAAAAATAGGGGGGAGGAGATGCACACTCACCATCCTTCTCCACGAAGAACTGGGGCATGATCCTGCGTGCGCTCCAGGCGGCGTTCATCCCGACGGCGGCCAACATGTAGTCCTCCCAATCATCCTCATTAAAGGATATATTTCTCAGCGCCTGTGCCACAGTCTCACTAACCCCCCAGAATTGGTGCATCCGGTCGTTGAAAGTGGTCCTGTGAGGATAGCCAAAGCCGACCAAGTTGCGGTTCACCCACAACTATTTGTATTGTCAGTTCTTCCTGGGGGCCTTCTGGTTTATGATAAACGCATGGACTCCTCGCCATTGAGAGAACATATGAACGCCGGATTGAGTAGAAGAGTTTAAGAAGTACTTGAAAGCCCAGAATTAAGGTAACACGCCCAAAGCCCGACAAGCCATATCGAAACCAACTATTTTGTTGACGAATTTAGGGGTCAGATCGTCAACAGAAAAGTTATAATAACACATGATCTCATCGAAAAAATTGGTCGTCGGTAACCGGTGTCCCGCCTCGAAGATTGGGATTGAGACTCGAACCTTCCCTTCAGGCGGACGGGAAATGTGCGCTCCCCTTCGAGGATATTGCACCCAGTGCTCGGGAAGAAACCCAAATCGGGCCTTCAAGGACTTAAACTCTTTTGGTGTAGGTTCGATTCTAGTGATATGTGTTGCCATTTCTTACCGCTAACAGATGCAAGACAAAATAGAAAGGAAACGAAGAAAAAAAAGAGACAGATGAATAGGAGTAGAGCTAAGAAAAGAAAACCGTTCCCGATAGGGAAAGCTTTAAATGAGAGGCGGGAAATTCGAACGATCGTAATGATGAAACCGTCTGCACAACCGATTCCGTCACATCAGTAGACGTCAAATCCATCCTCGCTGAACAGGTGTCTTGATCTAAGCTAGAAAAACCCAGCTACCCAAGGCTAACTCTGGCGTCTACTAGCCTAAGGGACTTGTTAACGTATCCTTTTGAGAATACGCCAAAGATAATGGGATGATTATCCATTGGACGACCTAGCTAACGGTCGTCACCCGGCGTAAGTGCTAGGTCCAGGAATTCGCCCTTGCAAACTCGTTCTTAGGCCTCGGCGTCCTAACACCAAGGCCCACAACAAGCCACAATAGTACCAGATTGCTCCCCAGAACGACAAGTGTAGCGCTCAAAGTTCCTCTTCTTAGTAACTCTGCAGCAATAGCGAATAACCACTAGTGGTGCACGACTCACTAATAGGATGCCTCCATGTCTTAACAGTCCAAGCAAGACAAAAGGTACTGTCAGGGACATGCTCCCTCGACGACAGGTATAAAAAAGACCCCCCTTCGCCAGAAGAAGGGATCGCTCTCTCCAGCTAATACAAAATTCTAATTCTCCCATACACTTATTAACTATACCGTCGAAGTCTCGTTCTGGGACCCCCTCCCGGATGACAACTAACGTCGAATCTTTCTTTGCTGTCATTTGTAGGCTTAACCAGACGACGCCATCCACCAAGGACGTTAAGCTCGAAGACATATCACAACATGGGCCTTCTGGTTTATGATGAACGCGTGGACACCCCGTCGCTGACTGAACATATGCACGGCAGATTGAGTGGAAAAGTTGAAGAAGTAATTGAAAGCCCATAATTGAGGGATCACACCCAAAGCTCGACAGGCCATCTCGAAACGAATTATTTTGTTGACATCGTTAGGAGTCATATCATCAATAGAGAAGCCATACTGACGCATGATATCATCGAAAATGTCGGTTGTCGGCAGCCGGAGACGCACCTCGAAGATTGGGATTGGGACTCCAACCTTTCCCTTCCAGCTGCCGAGAAATGTGTGCCCCCTTTGAGAATATTGCACCCCGTGCTCAGGAAGAAATCCAAATCGGGCCTGCAGGGACTCAAACTCCTTTGGTGTCGGTTCGATTCTGGTGATCGGTGTCTCCATTTCTTATCGCTAACAGATGCAAGACGAAGGAGAAAGGAAACAAAGAAAAAAGAAGAGACAGTTGAAGAGCAGTAGAGCGGAGAAAAGGAAAATGCCCCCGATAAGGGAAGCTTTAAATAAGAAGAGGGAAATTTTAATGGTTGCAACGATGAAACCGTCTACACAGCCGACTCCGTCACATCAGTGGATGTCAAAGCCATCTCTTCCGAACACATGCCTTGATCCTGAAGCCATAACAGCCCTGCTACCCAAGGATAACATTGGCATTTACTAGCCTAGGGGACTTGTTAACATATGTTGGGTTTTGAGCATTATAACACTCCTAAGGTGTTCATGCAACCCTAAATACCTTGGATCTATGTTTTCACTAATTATACATGCAAATGGTTTCCAAGGTATTAAACCTACAACTAGCATGCATTTGATATAAACCATGTAATATACTAGTTAGGATAACATACCCCTTTTGATGGAGCTTGAAGTCTTGATGTATTTGGCCTTAAAGAGCTTAGCCCCAATAGTGTGGAAGCCTCAAGTGGAATTACAACACATCATGAACAAAGGAGGAACTTGAGAGAGAATTCCTTACACCCAAAAACACCATGAACTCCAAGAATGACTCAAGTAGCGTTTTTTAGGCTAAGAGCATGTATTTATATGTGTGGATTCCAAGGGTCATGGATATAACCCAAATCCATACCCATGGGTTTATGATCCATGGTTCATGTGGCCCAACTCTTTATGTATCAATACATAAACTTGGTCCAACATGGATCATAAGCCCAACACATATAAATATAACTAATTATCATAATTAGTCCCCATAGATTTAATTAGTCTCTTTTTTATCACTAAATTAATTCCAAATTAATTCTTGGTCAATACTAATTAAAATATATGATTTCATATTAATATATTAGTACGTATAATATATTAATAAATCATATATAACCTTCTCTCAAGAGTCCATCCTAACAAATTGTCCTGATGATATGCAACCCAAATGGACCATGCTACTCTCGGGTCAAGTACATACCAATAATAGTTATGGGCTTAGACATCAAATCCAACAGTCTCCCACTTAGATAAGTCTAAAACTATTATTGCAAGTACGAATTCATAACCCGACTAGCAATCGTAGCTCTTAAAGCCGTTGTCGAACTCTGAACAAATCAATGACGCGTCCATTAGATAAGTGATCATATATTCCTCCATTCTAGATATCATATGCACTGAGACATGGATTATAATCATTCTCTATGTCCATTTGTTGTTTCCCGATTTCCGATTTATGACGACCGACTAATTGAACAAATCAAATCAGTCTAGGTTTGGCCAAGGACTTAGGGTGTCATCACTAAATCATCGAGGGGCCCACAAATATCGCTTTTATCCCTTTAAGGGTATAAATAATGTATAAACTTTGACTCATATGTTTTTACTAACTACTTGTTGAATCATACACAAAGGCACGTTTTATAACATCGAGTTACCACTACGTTTTCGTGGAATCAATGTATAACCAGCTCATAGTCAACAACTCATATCTCTAGGTTTGAAGAATATAAGATATTATCGTCTCATGATTCACTCGTGATAAAATCCGTGAAGTGATTCAAATGAGCGTGGGTT